ATGTGTGTATGTACATACATACATACATACATATGTAATAGGTATTATAAAAAAGGAAACCTATTCATATGCGAAAAAATAGATAAACTTGTTTAAATATTTATTGACGCGATCTAAGAAGCCTGTTTTTTCCTTTTAAATACAACTACTTTTTGGAGCTCATATGGCTTTATGGCTTTGGTTTTATGGCTAAGAATCTAGATGATTTTGAGAAAGTAGATATAGGGCGTATGTTTTTGGCGTAGAATACGTCTTACGTGCAGAAAGTCCCCTAAAAAGCTTACTTTTTTTCCATAAAAATCTTCAAAATAAGATTTTAAAGCTAAAAAAAAATATTTTCTGCCCCGAAAAATCGTAATTTAAAAATACCTAAAAGGAAACACAAAATTCGATATTGGCTTTAAGACTGTAAATATCCCTTATTATGTTAGCTGAAAAAATTACCAATTTCAAGTTATAAAATCGTTTTTATAGCAATTTAAACTTAAAACGAATATTGCCTCGTGTTATCACAAAATTTGTTGCACCGTTTCAGTGGAGGATCCAGCGGGGGGTTGTGGGGGTTAAGCTACGTGTCAGTCAGTGGCGGACCCACGGGGGGTGAAGCAAATTGCATTAAAATGTAAAACTAAGTATTTATCGAGGTAGATTATCATGGAAATCTTTGTGTATATATTGCTTTAACGTTTGAATGTTGTTGTGTTTAGATTGATACATTTTTTTGGACCATCGTACAATAGCTCCGCTTCGTATTGCTGTAATAACAGAGGTCGTTTTTGTGGCAATGATGTCCAACAGTCGGTATGACGTAACTTGAATCTGACTTCACCATGGACATAAAGCAATCCTCTGATAATGCATACTGGTGCTTCCCCAGGCCTTATAGTTGTAAAAGAAAAATGTTTACCCTCAATGTCTGTCGCATACGGCTTATATAATCCATTGGTGAATATATCGGTGGATTGAAAACATTTTCTAATGTAGAGTGGACGCTGTCTACCCCACACTTTTTACCTTTGTTAGTTGTCGGATTCCAATTGCAAGCGATTACAATAAGTCCCCTTTCAGACACGTCAAGTCTTGCTTTCAAGTCTGCTCGTTCGTAGGCGAAGGAGGTGAGAAGGGAGGGGAATGCACAGATACCTCCGTACCGTCAATTCGTTTCAAGTTTTCTTGTCTCTTTTGATGTTTTCGTTGCTTCCCATTTAAAGAACCAAGGACTTGAATTCAATTAAAGTTGACGCGTGTGGAAGCAAATAGAAAACACAAAAGAGAATGCGAAGAAATTGCTTTCAAGACTTGACGTGTCCGAAAGGGGACTAAATAGTAGAATATATGTATGTATGTTGTGGAAGTGGTATGTGCATAGATATGTATGTATGTATTTTGCTGGTCTATAATTATTTTTTACATCGAAGTCAGAGCATACTCATCAGATTCGCCTGTTTTTATACCCGAGCGCACTTGTGCACAAGGGTATTATAACTTTGTTCACATAACGGTTGTTTGTAACAGGCAAAACGAATCGAGATAGATATAGACAAATGTATACATAAATGATCAGGATGAAAAGAGAAATCGATTAAGCGGTGACTGTCTGTCCGTCCGTCCGTCCGTCTGTCCGTCCGTCTGTGCACACGATAACTCGAGTAAAAATTAAGATATCTTAACGAAACTTGGTACGTGTACTTCTTTCGGGCGTAGGACGGATGGTATTGAAAATGGGCAAAATCGGACAATAACCACGCCTACCTCCCATATAACGGTAAATTTCAGAAATGCTTGAAACTTCAATATTTCGAAATTTAAGGACGCTAATTTACTCAAAATTGATACACACCGGCTTACCATGTAGCGGTAGCTTTCGCAAAGGTGAAAATCATATACTTAGTACTTGCGCCGGGTATTTAATGTTCGGCTTCGCCCGAACTTAGACTTTCTTACTTGTTTCACTTCACAATACTTCCGTTCAGGTCGCGTACTTTTTAACCGACCTGGCTGAACTCGGTTGGATAAATAGCCGAGTTTTTGTGTTGTTGCTTTGCGTGCGTTTCGTCATTTATACCATGTTCTGACAGACGTCGAAAATATGTTTTCGTTGCTAGAACTGGTTTTCGACCTAAAACATATCGTCGTTTAAAACACAAAACCGCGTATCGTCATTCCGCAAAACCGCGTAACTGACATTGGCTGCCAAAAATTGGATTTGCAAACACAAGCTCTTGGCTCAATCCTTAGCCATTCGTCCTGAAGTATACTAGCCAGAAATTCGATTGCGTTTTAAAACAGAGAACCATTTTGAAATATGAGTGTTTTTACGCTCTAGAAAATAATTTCTTCAACTTCACATACGCGGTTTTGCATTTTGCTGATACGCGGTTTTGCATTTTGTTGATACGCGGTTTTGCACTTTAAACGACGATATGTTTTCGTCCATATAAAATTTGTCACACGAAAATCAGTTTTCGCTGGAAACTACTTGAAAACTCACGTTCCACTCATTCCAATCGGCGTCTTCACTAGTCTTTTTTTTCGATTATTCATTGAAGTGGAAGTCATATTTTATCATCTTTAATACGCCATTTCGGATTTATTGTTAATTGGCTGGCCAAAGTAAAATAAGAAGAAAAGTTAAAGGTTGTAAATGAAAAGAAAATGAAGGGAAAGTGTTTTGGTTTCGTTTTTTTTTTGTAGCAAAACTGTAGTCAAAAGATGTAAGAAATTTCAAAGAAAACACTAACAACCGGTGTGAACAGCCCACACAATCCCAGCACGCAATCCCAAAACTCGTTTTCAATGTGTTTTCGTTGTCGGTCAGAACATGGTATTAAGCGAGTCTTCGCTTGTAGATCGGTTGCAAAAGAATGCACCTAATATATGCTCTGATCTAATACTCCATGAACTTAAAGGTTTTGACCCGAACTTGCAGGAAGTTACAGGAAAAATTATTCCGTGCTCTAAAATCCTGTAAATTAGAGCGATTTTTGTAGAGTTGTGTAGAGTTGCAAGATTTTAACAGAACTTTTTCTTCTGGTAAAATCTTGAAAAGTATCAAGCGTTCACTGGTTGACGTTCTTACAGGAAAAATGTTTTTTTGTTCCCGAACTTTTTGTAAATCAGACAGTAATTTTACTGTTTGACATTTTTACAGGATTTTACACGAAAAGTATTGGATCAGAGCTATTGCTGCAATAATAAAATAACTTAATTTCTAAAGCAAAACAAATATTTCCTTTTTAAGTAATTTTCGCTTCCATCAAGCGTTATCCTATCGACCCCAAATTTTGACGTATGTAAGTCGTTTAGAGGAAAAGAAACAAGCACCGGGCGGCGACCATTGAAATTTTGATTTGTAAAAATATGGGTACCCTTAATGTACATACTTATACATATGACCGATTATTTGACTGGAAACGTTACATTCGTACGCATTTCTTTTTATATATGGATCAATTGTAAACCAAATAACGGAAAACCACCTAGGTCTTTAAGGTTATATGATTAGGCATAGTCAAGTCTATGTTTCTGTAAAAAGGGGTATAATAATTTCTTTGACGTCAATGGTATGGGCATTCAAATGTGCACTGGTCACGTTACACTATTTGGAAGTTCAATGATAGGTCTCGTCAGAAAATTTGAACTTTCCGCGAACTGGGTAAACGAATACATATTGCAAGTTTCTGCATACTCAATTGTTCTTAATTTTAGTTTTTTGACAATTTCTCTCTATAAAATTTGGGCACTGGTAAAGACACAAAAACACTGGCTACGGTACACGTATGGTTTAACCCAAAGAATTTGCTTATCCATTTTTTCTTCACATTCCTACATATTCTGTCATTTATGCCGATTTCGTTTCTATCGAAAAATGCAACCTTTTTCTTGCCCCCTACGCACAAACACTAGAAGAGGGCGATGAGAAGACAACATTTTTTGTAGAAACGAAAACGCCATTAAAAAAAAACTATTTGAGCTAAAATTGGGAAGGATTAAAAAATATAATGCAATTATCGTTAAAATTTCTAACTAGGTCAAAAATCTTACCACATCTATCTTATGCTCATATTCATAGTATCTGGAATAATATTTATTGAACTGTACTGCAAAAACACACTCATGTTTACAAACTTAAAATATGCATAAATACATCTTAAGTACTATGTTCTGTTATATTTTTAATCCTTTCTGAATCATCGTTTTTTTTTTCATACATAATCAGTTGCATATGTTGCAAAAAATTTCATTGAATTCCATGCAAATATACATATAATCAAAATCTTAAGAGATACAGATTTCAAGGGATATTTTCCATATGTTAGTGTCGCTTTATTTAAATGGAATATTCATCAAAATTAAGTAGTATAATGCTCAAGTCGCAATTGTTCACGCAAATACTTTCTTAAGTATGTCTTATTATTTATTGCTAAAATGAAATGAGAATCGTCAAGTCAATACAAAAATTTTAAATAAAAAGAGAAACACCGGCCACGGTTACATTTATTTATTAGGTAGTTGTGCAACAAAGTCTGCTACGGTTTCCTTTTTTCCATATGGCATCAATATGATATCGACAATATTAATTAAACATGTTATATATTCTTTTGGGTCCTCCCGAAAAAAAACTTTTTTAGTTTTTCCATTACGACTTAATAGGAGTTCTAAACGAATTTTTCGTTAACTTGGAACGTATGTATACTGTTAAACTAATTTATTTTCTGTCGTACAGAACTTTAGCAGCCACAAACACTCAATGAAAGCTTGTATATATTTGTACTTTTCCTTTTTAACCGACTTCACAAAAATAAAATAAAGGTTATCAATTCGTCGGAATAGTTGTTTTCTATGTATGTTACCGCATAACTTTGGACCACGTTAATCGATTTCTATAAGGTGTTACCTCACAGGTGGCCCCATATTAATTTGGTTTAAATCTGATCATCGGATCATGTAGAAATTAATGATAATCTTAAAGTTTTATATGAGAATTGAAGTCGGTTTTGTTTTTTGCTTAAAAATTACTTGTTGTAGTATTGAAAACTGTTTTTGGTTCGTCAAAAATCTTTCGAAAAAAGTAGCAAAATATTAAACACAAAATGCTCGGTCACGATAATAATTAGCGTCAGAAGTAGCTGACAGATATGGAGAATACCGATAATCACTAATATGTACAATATTTGAAAGAAGGGCTGACTTCCGAAACGTCAATTGCTTTGCATCCGTACAAACTATAATGTTCCATAACAACTCCCGAACTACAAAATGTAGACAATGTACTATACTTTTCCAAAACGCATCCGAAAAGTTATCGAAACGCATCGCCAGAGTAATGAGCGCATCAGAAACAAAGCTGATGCTTCGTTTGTATCACCCAAACAAACATGTTATATTAAATATTCCAAATTTGGAATGTTTATCAACTCTGCATATACAAACAGTTTAAATATCGCGGTAGAACAGTAACCAAACATTAGGGCTGTACATATGCTCTTGCATTTGCATATTTGGTGCATTTGTAAATTCACAACAACAACGCGCACACGGTTGCCATGACAGCAATCATAAAATTTCCAAATGCAATTCCAACTGAAAATCCAAGACCATTTCCACAACATCCTGAACAGCCCTATTCAATTGGCACATTTGGAAGTCAGCCGAAATAAAAATCGGACTGGTATACTTTTCTGTCCAGATTTATGTACACATCTATACGTTTGTACGTAATTTCGATAGATTGGTCAAACTGTGCGAGATTCGTATTTTCCAAAGTCACATCACTTATTTGTATGCTAATAGCGAATTTCGGGTACATCGATTTAGAACGACAATGTAGTCCATGATTGCCATGATTGCACCCAGCACAATTATTCAAAATTTATCACTATTAAATGAAAAAAATTTTATGAGTAAACGAATCCGTTTGGGTGGTTACTCATAGGTATTCTCTACCTTGGCGTTCTATTCTTTTGGGTTCTCCTTTGGATTATCTTTAGGTTTCTTCCTAAGCGCTGGTATAGTCTGTTTAATTTGGATGACTCGTTTGTTGGAGTTGTCCTCTATGGCGGGGTTTGGTACGCTGACTGTTAGGACGCCATCCGATGACAGTGTGGAAACCAATTTAGCGGCATCGAAGCCTTTGGGCACTTCAAAGCGACGAATGAAATGACGTGAAATATAACCATGGTCATCTGCTCGCTCCTCGTGTTTACCCTCCACCACGATGTGGTCGTCAACTACTTGAACGTTCAGTTCGCCGGACTTAAACTGCTGCACATCCATACTAGCTTGAAAACCATCTTTCCCAACCGAGGTAACAGGCAGATCTCCTTCAAATTTCCTGAATTGGCCACTGGGCGAAGTGATGACCGCAGGCCAGTCTGTGGAGGCCACCGGTTCGTAGAAAGGTGTCAGGCGGTTTAAATCGTCAATCAAACTCAATAGCAATGGTGGACTCGCCATTATAACGTGGATATGGTATTTATTTACTTTCACTTAAAAACGGTAGATAGCTAAAACACGGTATCTGTTGAAAAAACGTTAACTTGTTTAGCTTCTGTTTAAAAGATCTAAATCTATTCCACTACCAGTCAGATTTACGCGATTTAGTCAGAATTGGTTTCCGTATGCAAATTTCTAATATCTTCAGTAATGTATTCCTGTAATTTCTGTCTAAATCCTATAAATCTGACTGGCACTGGAACAAGACTAATTTGTACGCTTATTCGACGCTTTGACAACTACGCTGGCCGCTGCGAGTGCCGGCCTTTATATGTATTTTCATGGCACGCCGTAGCTGACCGAGAACATTTCGTTGCGTTTGTGCGACATTTGTGCGTATATATGTATGTATGTAATGTATACATTCGGGTGACCCAAAAATACATTGCACAATTTTTTATCGTGGAAAAAAGCAAAGAAACCCCTAATTTGTTCTAATAACAAAAAAGGAAATGTGTTCGTATTTTTTATTTTCGAAAATTTTAATATTTACAATGCAAGGAATATATTAAATTTTCAAAAAATCAAGTTCATTAGCCAGGGTTTTAATACAGTTAACATTAAACTACTGGGATTTAAAATGACCCGTATAATTTAAATTGTTACCCCTTCTGTAAAATTTGGGCAGTGCTGTACGGGGTTCGGGTGCGCTGTATTTAAAGTTATATATTTTCTAAATTGCTAGGATTTAAGAACAATAGTTCCTAAATTAACGTTAACCTTTTTACAAACCTGGCTAATGATCTCGATTTTTCGAAAATTTAAAATTTTTCTATTCATTTTATATGGAAAAATTTAGATGCATTCATTGCACGTGTTAATAGTAAATTTTTCGAAAATAAAAAAATGCATTTTTTTTTGTATTAGAACGAATTGGAGTTATTTCGCTTTTCCAAGAAAAATAATTTTTTTTTGTGCCACCCTAATGTAAATACATAAATATGCATGCATTTTTTCGCGCAAGAACAACCGAAATTTCTTTCCCTCTAGAAAGCGCCCTGCACATACATATGTATATACATATATATGTACATACATAACTTGTTTATTAAAGGCAAAGTCAGACAGATAATTTGATTTCGAGAGATTTCGCTGGTTCTACTATAATGGCTTACGAAATACCAGCTGCTTGGACAAAATGTTTGCAATTAAAACAATTTGAGGCGCTACTTGTTTTTAAGAACATTTGCATGTTTTTATATTTGTATATCGTCGGTGATACTGCAAAACGTTCTATGTCACCTATTACCCCTGGTGCGGTGCTTAATTGATCTCTTATCTGTATCTGATCAGCCAAAGGTAGACAGTTTGGTCATTTATATATATTTATATATTTATACCCGAGCGCACTTGTGCACAAGGGTATTATAACTTTGTTCACATAACGGTTGTTTGTAACAGGCAAAACGAATCGAGATAGATATAGACAAATGTATACATAAATGATCAGAATGAAAAGAGAAATCGATTAAGCGGTGACTGTCTGTCCGTCCGTCCGTCCGTCCGTCCGTCCGTCCGTCCGTCCGTCTGTGCACACGATAACTCGAGTAAAAATTGAGATATCTTAACGAAACTTGGTACGTGAACTTCTTCTGGGCGTAGGACGGATGGTATTGAAAATGGGCGAAATCGGACAATAACCACGCCTACCTCCCATATAACGGTAATTTTAAGAAATACGAAAACTGCGATATTTTAGTAAATACTGAAGATAATTCACTCAAAATTGATATTAGCAATGAGTTTGAGACGAAAAATAAGAATATTACAAAATTTTGGCAAATGGGCGTAGCCACGCCCACTTATGGTTACATGTGTATATCTTGGTAACCGCTACACCAATTTCTTCCAAACTTGGCACAGTTGTTGGTCCTGGCACAACATATCAAATGGCCGAAAATTTCTAAAATCGGACAATAACCACGCCCACATCCCATATAACGGTAATTTCGAGAAATACAAAATCTTCGATAAATCCGTAAATATTGAAGCTAATTTATTCAAAATTGATGGTTGCAAAAATTCTTTACCAAGAAATACGCTTATCAAAAAATTTTGGAAAATGGCCGTAGCACCGCCCACTTGTGATCACATATATGTATCTCGCTAACCGTTCTAGCAATTTGTACCAAGCTCGGTATGGTTATTGTGCTTGCCACATAAAAGCAAACCGTTGAAAACTGTTGAAATCGGACTAAAATTGAGGCCGCTTTTCATATAACGGTAAATTTCTGAAATGATTGAAATTTCAATATTTCGAAATTTAAGGACGCTAATTTACTCAAAATTGATACACCCCGGCTTACCGTCTAGCGGAAGGTTTCGGAAAGGTGGAAAACATATATTTAATACTTGCGCCGGGTATTTAATGTTCGGCTCCGCCCGAACTTAGACTTTCTTACTTGTTTTTTTAATTATTATTATTGAGCTTATTTTTTCGCTCAAGTGAAAAAATAAAACACTCAATAACAATTATTATCTTTGAGCGAAAAAATAAAAATCATAAAATAATCATTATTTTTGAGCGGAAAAATAAAACTCAAATATTAATTATTATCTTTAATTTTTATTTGTTAAACTCAAAATATAAAAGTCATTCTCAATTACAGTAGAATGTATGAACAGAATACGTGAGTATAAAAGTAATGGTAATTTTCCATCCCTGATTTTTTCAAAATCCCTGTTTTTTGGTTATCTTCAGAGCTTTTCTTCAATATCTCGTGAAATAATCTCCCAATCAACGTGGGCGACTTACAGTTCGCAAGGTATTGATGTGTCCCTTCCAAAAATATATAGCTGCCGATATATATGTATGTGCCGATTTCAATGAAAATTATTAGTGCTACAAGTGATCAAAGTAGAAAGTCGAAGTGAGATTTTCAGTCAACTACACAGTTTTACTTGATTTTTTTTTTTAATTATTTTTAAAACTCATTATAAAAGATTTAGCATTACAGTAAATTTTGAGCCTAAAATAATGAAAATCGAAAGAGAAATGTAGATGGTGTGGAGCGCAATCTGCACAAATTATATGTTATTGTAACTGTGAGTCGATTACGTCGAAAATACAAAAATCCCGTTCTTTGAAAAAATCCCTAAAATGCTAATTTTAAAAAAGTGGTATTGTTTTCGTATTGAAAGACCCAAAGTTTGCCTACAAAATTATCTCTCAAAGAGGTTCACTTTTCGCCTAAGCTAGTCTAATTATAATACATTTTATTATAATTTTATAAATATTCATATAAAAAAACATCAATACCAAGAAAGAAAATTTTAATTTTTGTTTAAGTTGAAAATGGATTAAGAATTTAGAAATACTTTTTCGATATTTTTATAATACCTATATTTTTGAAAAATTGTCCCGCATTTTCAATTCATATTTATGGTCACCGTAAGTATCACCGACGATATGTAAATGTATGAAGTGCGCACTTATTCAAGGTAAGGACATGTCCTATTCAACATTGTTTACATTAGGGGTATTCAAGATCCGGTGCCTACTGTCTAGCATGGTGCATACATAGATAGCCTGATTGGCTAATTTTGTTGTTGTTTGAACACATGAAACAACAACAATCATGCTATTTATGCTATCTATGCACCATGATAGACAGTATGCACCGGATCGTGAATACCCCTATTACATTTTAATACAGAATTTTGATTTTCAGTATTTCTAATTAGTTTGACAATACTTTCTATTACTGGAAATAATCATAACGCAAAATCTTCTCCTGAGTTTTGGTCAGTGCATGCCAGCATGTATCGGAAACGGAAACGTTTTCCAGAACGTAAAACCGTGGGGAGGGGTGGCATTGCCGGCTAAAAGTACTTGTTGGAGGAAGCAATTCCCAGCTTTATAATCTAGTATTGAATTTACAAGCATTTATTTATGCAAAATCTCAAATTTAAGTCACGCAGTTTTTTTAAGACATGCTGTTCTCAAAATAATGTAATTTACTAAAACAAAATGTTGTTTTCATATATTGAAAATAAAAGTTTATTTTGATAATTGTAAAAACACGCAGTAAGAATTTGTATACTTTTCGCTAAGTATAACAGATTTTTAGGTCGCTTAGAACGTATGTCCTAAATGTAGATTTAAGACAAAGGACCTGTGCCAATTGATAGAAAAGATGGAATTTTGACGGATCAGACCGAAAATTTACCATTTCGGTGAATGCAAATGTCAGAATTTTACCAGCTCATGGGGCTAGGTAAAATCTTGAAAGCTTCTAAATATATATGTATATACATAATATTGTTTGGCGGTAATAAAGAGTCAAAATCAAAATGAATGCTGAAAAAATCATAAAAAAGGCGTACGTTACTTGCAAGTTATAAAATATGTATTTATGTATGTATGTAGATACAAATTTTAACAATTTCAGCAAAACACAAAAAAAGAGCATTCGCACGAGCGTTTGTTTGGTTTTTTCAACTGTCAAAATTTTACTTTGCATTTGGCACAGCATTCAATTTATTCGTACACCATAGTAAATTTTTCCAATCCGTCTCGCCACGGAGAAAAAAGTTACCGATTGGCACACAGCCAAAGATATGGTAAACTTTGCCAGATTTTATCTACCACAAAAGCAGAATTTTGGAAGACGAAAGTGCGAAAAATAGAATTTTGTGAGACAGAATTTCAAAATGCGGAACTTTCAAAAACCGAATTTTAAAAAAGAAGAATTAGAAAAAGCAGGATTAAAAAAATACCGAAATTTGATCCAGCAGAATTTTTTTTAACATTTTGCAAAATTTCGCAATGTAGAATTTTGTAATGTAGCGTAACGAGACACTCCCGACTGGCTTTACTAAATATACGTTTGGACCCCACGGAAGTACTTCATCATAGCTTCCACTAAGGTTCGAACCTTTCCGCAGCCAGCTGACGGTAAAAGGGAATAATTAAATTTAGTAACATAAAATAATATGAACGATTTAACTTAAACAGTACCTTCCAAATAAGCAATGGATTCGCGTCTTGAGGTGTATTAGGCTTTTCAAAATACTGTCGCAGCGAAATAATGACATCTGCTCTGGGCTCGTTTATCAACAAACTATCGATAGTATCGGATCATTTTAAAATGTATTTACGGTGCTTTTATATACAGTTTTGACGTGGAATACGTCTTACATTTCGATATGGAGGCTATGTATGCTCAAATGTTGTATGTAGTTTTAATTTTTAGAGCTTCACGGAAACGTTTACTGCACGATAACTAATGAAGTGATTTCAAAGAAAAGTAT